ACAGAAAACTATGGAACAGGGACAAGGACCAAGGTCGATGATGAGCCGCCCACAAAACTCGTCCGCCCTGAAAATTATCCTCTCGTATTGGGCCGGTAGAGCCTTTAATTTATTTATGCAACCGAGGCACATCAATCTTCTGCAAGCTTGTAAGAAGTCTCCTTCTGTGTGTGTGGCCGCCTTGGGGCATTTGATTTTACAGTGGAACTTCGAAGAGATTGAACGATTGTCAAAAAATATATTTAAGTTATTGAAATAGAAAGTTTACTTAAGTTGGAGTATTAGAAAAATTGTTTTTCTGGATTTTTAAGCCTATATTTAAATATATTTTTTGATTTTGTAATATAAAAAATTTCGCAAAAATGTATCAATCAACTGATAAAAAGCAAAGTCACCATGAATAACATAAATTTTTAAAATCAATCAATCTTAAACAAATTTTATTACATTTTCCTGGACTTTTCCTTTCATTTTAGAATTTTGAAATCTGTTTTTTAATTTAAAACAAGTTAACAGAGCGTTAACAGAGAGAAATTTAAACCAAATGGGATTTTTTGAATCTGAAAACTGTAGTTCTGCGAAGTATATTTCGGTAGACTTTTGCCGTAGTAAACCAAAAACCAAAAAATTAGTTACCTATAAATAAAAAAAAGTAAGAGCTGACAATAATAAATTTAAATCTTAACTTAACAGTGATTTAACAAGACAAGAACTAGGTCTGGGAATATATATTCCATGAGACTTAAGGTAACAAGAACGATTTAACATTTAAAGGATAAAATCTTACAACAATAAATTCAATTTAAATTATATACTAATTTATAAATAAATATATATTTTTTTGAATTCACTTTCAAGAGGCCACACTGTAAAATTATATGTATGTCGGTGCGATTCGTGGGATGCTGTAACATACGGCTGCCATGGTTTGTTGAATTTGAGTTTAATGACGTGTAAAAATGTTTTCACGGCTTTTGATTATATTTTACCTTAAGCGCCGCTAAAGTTTGTTTCCCTCCCTCCCCAACCCCCGGAATCAAAGGTAAACCCACACACACATACTGACACACACACATCCGTGGGTATCCCTTCCGTTTGCCATTTGCAATGAATAATGTGAGCTTCGCGTCGCTTCGTCTCTGTTTTGCATATGAATACCTTTTGGCATCATCGCTGATTAGCAGCGGCGACTGACAATGGGCGGGCAGGTACAGTGGTTATCGTTATTATCCCTAAGCGGAAACATTTTAATGACAATCTCCCCCTTGCATCCATTACCCTCCCCCGTTAAAGTGTCAGTTATCGTTTTCAAAATAATATTGCCAACATATTTTTCGGTGACGCCGCGGATACGCAAGGTTTAGCATACATTGTTACCGCGTTTGACTTAATTAAAGTTTGGAGATGTGCGCTTACATTAATTTTGATAGCTGCACATATGGCTGCTAAAGTTATGCCAATGACAAACTTATTAAAGTTTTTCCAAGCGAAACGAGAGAGGGTGGCAAGGATATAAACTAGAGAAGGGTGAAAGAAAGTTACTGGGAATTATATTTAATGTAAAAAGGTAATTTAATGGATGTAAAATTTATAGTAATGCTTTGGTGTCTACTTATTTGATTAAAAGGTATTTTAACTAGGCAAAGGTACTTGAATTATTGCCTAAAGTTCACTGATCAAACACTCTTTAAGGTTCCTTGATAACCCAAAAGGTAAACAACAATCTATTTCCCTCAACCCTTATCCTGACACACTTTCCAATTTGAAATTATATATATCTCGTAGAGCCCACACTCCAATGTTAAATAAACAATCTTCAGTGGCCAAAAGTAGCCCCCATTCACATTGCTCAGCTGGGTAGGAAAATTATTTTTAATGCTCCTTTGGCCAAAGCCAAAGTTAAGCACAAAAGTTTCATGTTGTAAACTAAACAATGCGCACTGTTGACAATTGTTCCCAGGCAGCTGGGCATGGCCAATGCAGCAAAGCCCCATACCCATTCCCATTCCCATTCCTATTCCCTTTCCCTTATCCCCCTGCTTTTTTTGTTTTCGACTTATTTAATGCTCGAGTAAACCTCTAAAAGAATAAAAACCCCCGGCCAACAGAGAGAGAGAAAAAAGAAACAATGGCAGAAAGTCATAGAAAATACTTGGTAAATGGTAAATACGTGCAGTTTGTACTTGTTGCATTACCGCGCCACTTGCCACTTGGCCTCCGCCAGGACTCCTTGCCCGCTAAGGACTATTATTTTTATATTTCTTTCTATTTTTTGTGCAGCAGGCACAGGTGATATTATTGACCAAAGTTAAACAATTGTAAACAGCTACAAGTCACAGAACAATTGCGACACTTTTTAGTTTTCCAACTCGCTGCTACTTTTCCTCCTCCTCCTCGACGGGGTTTTGTTTTCAACGCTGGCGTCTCTGACTGGCTTTTGATAATACCAACCAGGTTGTAAATAAAGACACCTTTGGCTTATAACTGATTTGGGGCTTTTCGGAGAGTCCATTTTGTGTTTTGCTAAAAGTTAATCAAGCTAAAGTTGGTGGCTGCCAAAGGTTTAGCGAGGTTACAAGCTATTTTGTGCTGAAAAAAAGATAAAATATTTCATATTTTACTTTAAAAGGTTTTTTCTCAAATTTCAGAAAGTACACACTACCGATGGCTTTGTGGTAAAAACCCATTTCCTCAAGCCTTTTCCTTGGGTGTTGGCAACAACAATGGGCAAGAGACAATACCTGGACAGGTATTGGTTCATTAATTTGCACAGATGAAGCAACTGCAAATCCATTTGCCAGCTTCGGTAATAATCAACAAGCCATTCAACAGATAAAGGCGGCTTAAAATTTCCAATTTCCAGTGGCCATTCACCGCACACAGACACACACACACACAGACTCTCTCTCGCTCAGCATCCTTTTTTGACCAGCAACAACTTATTGTGGTTACAAATTGTGGCAAAAGCTATCAATGATATTATCAGGGGCAGGCAGCAGGACTCACAGGACCTAAGCGAACCCAAGCCAACCCGAATGGAACGCACATATGCAAGCCCAATTACATCCGGTTGCAGTTTCAATTTCAATTTGCCGTGGCCGTCGAACAATGGCCAAAAGGGCTGTCTATATGGCCATATCTGCCATGTCCTGCCCCCTGTCCCCTGGCTTGTGGTGCCCAAAAAGGACCAGAGGACAAAGCCCAAATGCCTCTGGCAGCTAGGCATAATATTAATTTAAATTAGACAAAATGCCAGGGCGCCGACGGTGGCCTCCATGCTGTGGTGCGTTGCATCGAAATGCAATTTTCGGCCTCCGGTTTGAGTCGACTGCAGTTAATAGCCTTGTGGGTGGCCCGTGTGTCTACCTGGGGGAACACTAAATTAGCTTTGATTGAGGTATATGTGGTCAAGACAAATTTTGTTACCCAGTAATATCATTTTGTGGAATTCTTTATGGGAGTTATAGGGGGTTTTTTTGATGTTCTTGGGACTTGGGAAATTATTTTTGGTTTAAGGAGATATTTCGGGTATTTTATGATGCTTTTTAAATAGATTTTTCTGCTGGTTTTTATTGGATATTTTGGCTGATTTTTCGATCGGTTTTGGATCTGGTTTTTGAGCTTTTTTGGGGTCATTTTTAAGAGATTTTTTTAATGGTATGATAGGTTTTTGAAAGGGGTTTTGCAGTGGTTACTGGAACGATTTTGAGACGATTCTTGGGAGTACTTTGAGGGTTCTTGTGAAGCAGTTTTAAGCCACTTTTTGTAAGTTTTTAAAACAGTATATGCAGTTTTCTTTTCCCTAATTTAAAATAGTTTTTCTTTTAATATTTTTATAAGAATTATCATTTTAATATATTCTCACTCAAGGGGTATAAACCAACCCGATTCGCCGAACTCCTCCTAACTATTTCGCCATCGAAGTTCGGCAATTTGTCTGGCGTAGCGTGAAATTTGCAATTTGCCAATTCGATGCGATACTCTTTGAATAAGGGCAATGCAACCGGAAATCCGGACTGCAACTGCGACTGACCGGGCTAATAAGCCAGAAAATGCATTTAATAATTTGGGGGTAGGGGAAAACCAAACAAAAAGATCACTGGGGATAAGAAAAAAGTGCTGTCCACGCAGTTTGGTTTATTTGCGCATTATAGATGCATCACTTAATTGAATTAATATATGGACATTGTGTTGGCAATACTATATGCAAATGTTTTTGGGAATGGATGCAGCTGGTTTAACTTTTCTATATATATTTTTTTTATTTTTAGTTTTTGTGTTTGCATTGAAAATTAGCAAGGCAAATTTAGTGCCAATGACAATGGGTCAGCAGATTTTTCTTCTAATAATGCGGATGCTCTCTGCCAATTAACACCACACACACACAAGCAGAGAAAGAGAGACCCACCACACACACACACTCGAAGCCACACATGCAGAAGACCGAAACAGATTTCCGGTTCCGTTTTGCATTAGACTCAACTCGTCGTGGTGACGTCGTTGCCGCACATAAATTATGGCAAATTGTTTGCATTTAATTGCATAGCTTAGTCCATGTGGTTGTTGTTGCTTGTCATTGTTATGCATAATTCAGGGGTAGGGAGTGCTTTTGGAAGGAGAGTCATCTTCCTGGTAGTTTGATGCATTCCCTCTAATTAACTGCAACTCATCAGCTCGTTTATCCGATGGCCAAGCCGTCGTCCCGAGTGATATACCGTTCCGAGGAGCAAGAACCACTGATGATGTCTCAGTTTGTGAGATGACAAATGGCCTATGAAGGGCACAACTTGTTGCGCCAGGGTAACATATTAGCATATTTATGGAGTTAAAGTAATAATATAGTAGTTTTTTTTTTTAATAATTGCTGAAATTACAGAAACCACTTTAAATTAAGCGCCAATCACAAACTTATATTCAAACCTTTTTGAAAAAGTGAAGAGACTGTACCGATTAACACTCGATTGGCCACGAGTTATCGTTACTAAAACCGTCGCTTTTCAACACCAAAAAGAAACTTGACTGTACTTTTTTTGTTTGCATATTTTAAATAAAAAAAAGTGTAAAAACATAATTAAAAAGGCTTATTATAACCAGATCTAGATATTTATTATCATAAACCTAACATTATTTAGCTTAATAACTAACTAAATTGTCAATAAACAGTCTAGTCAGGCAACGCTCTCAGTTTCCAAATTAACCAAATTTGAAGCTATTGAAATTAATTTGGTAAAGTAACAATGAATGCCCCAAACTCTGTAATCGACCAACGCATGGAGGCAGAGCGTATCTACGGCTGGATCACTGATTTGTGTAGCTCGGAAGGTCGTCTGGTGGCCATGCTGGAGCTCAGTGAGAGACGCAGCCAAGTTGAAAGCCTGGGACATTTGCTTTGGCACTCCTTTGGAGCTGTAGCTGGACTGCTACAGGAGGTGAGTCTTTCAAAAGGACCCAACAATTAAGCTAAGAATGTGAAATTCCAATGGTTTCCCCCAGATCATGTCCATCTATCCTTCAGTATTGACCAACGTTCTAAGCTACCAGGAGTCACAGCGCATTTGCGCCGCCATCGGACTCTTTCAGGCCATGGCCTCCGACCGCTGCATTGCCCTCCAACTGATACGCTGCGAGTTCATGAGCTACCTGATGCCGATGCTAAGGTTGACGCCTCAAACCCGGTCCGTGGAGCATGTGCGTCTCTCTGTGCTGGGCGTGGTTTGTGGACTTTTGAAATCGGATCACAAGGAAGTTGTGACCTACTTTCTGGGCACAGATCTTATGCCCCATGTCCTGCATAATCTGGAATTAGGCTCCAGCATGAGCAAGGTGCTCTGCGCCTTTGCCCTATTCCGCATCTTGGAGAACGAAGTTGGCCTAAGCTTTGTTGGCAATACGATGGCCAGAAAGATGCATTTGATTCACACTCTGGCCAGAGTGGTTCATCAACTGACGCTGGAGATGGAGCCGCGTGTTTTGAAGCATGTGGTTAGGTCCTATTTCCGTTTAGCCGATCATCCGCAGTGCCTGGTGCTGATCCTTAAGCATTTGCCGCCGCAGCTTCGCAATGGGTACTTTTGCAAGGAGAAACTGCCAGGATATGAGAATGCTAATATGGAACTGGCCAAACTTAGCTGCAAGTTGGCCAACAAGGAGGCTCAAATCTATAAGGGTAAGGAGTGGGATTCGAGGGGAAAGTTGAAACAAATAATATAATTTCTACTGATTTTTATACTCTACAAAATCACACCTTTTTTGATATTTATTTCATTTATTTAATCAATAATAAATTAAACATTACAGCCACTTTGCAAATCATTTTCACACGCAATTAAATCAACATTTTCCACCTCTTTTTTTTCTTTACAGGCAAGGAATAAAGTGCTTCCTGAATATAATTGACGTACCAATTTACACATCGGCAATTTACCTCTCACACCGAATTTTTCTGTTACCAATATATATGTATATATGGCCGGCAACCCCATGATATGTTATCTGGTGGCCCCGGCATCAACATGTAAATTGCATTACCCTCCATGGTCCTCATTTTTTCTGGGGGGAGCAGGGAGCTTCTTTGGTTGCCTGGGAGGCAGCATCAAGTTTGCGTAATGCAATAAACAGCTCGTAAATATTTTGATACCAATTTTCCAGCGTAATTGACTCGATGGTACTTTAAATGTCAAACAATAAATTCAATTACCAATCCATAGGCCCAAAAGTAACAGCCTTAACCCTCGGCAGCACACACACTTGCCTTAACCCTACTACTGCACGTGCTTTGGCTCCTTTCCTGACATGGATACGCCACCCAGACCTTCCAAAGGAGCCACAGGAATGGGGATTCTGCTGGTGTTGTAAAACCAAAGCAAGCGGAAAATCAACGCACAAGTCGATAAACATTTGTATGAACAGCGAAAAAGCGAAAGGCGAAATAACAAACAGGAAAGTCGTGGAAAACCCCAAAGATTCACTTATGTAGTTGTAATCAAAAGGGAAAGGGATAAATGGAGGCCAAGGGTTGATCGCTGCAGCGGCGTAAAACAATTTCATATAAAAACAAATGATTCCTGGCCAGAACATAAACAAAGAGCACATGAAATGCGGGGGAAAATGAGATACGGATAAGCGATGGCAGTGGGGAGATAATTTTCTATTAAGGGAAAGTCCTCTGAAAAGATAAAAAATAATAAGAAAAGAAAAATCACACATATTTTTGTATTATTCAAAATCTCTAAAAGTATGCATTTTTAAGGCATTTATTTTTTTAAATATTTTTTGCAGATTTATTTTAAGCTATTATGCTTTTTGTGTATTAATTTTTCTCATTTTTAGGTACTTCTTGAAGTAGTTTTCTTATTTATTATAATTTTTTGCAATTTGTTATGTATTTCTCTTATAAACATCTCTAATTTCTTGGTAAATTTTCATAAAACCATATTTTAAACCGAATATTTTCAGTTCTTAACTCGGTAATTCACGTATTAAGGTTTATCCAAGGCAATTGGGTACTTTCAAAGCAAAGTTCCTACCTGATAATAAAACTATTTAATAAAATATTTTAAAATTTTAAATAAAAAAAGTCCCTTTATAAAAGCAAAATATCCCCTTTAACCAATTTAGTGTTTCGTTTACGAGTCACAAATTGAAATCTATAATATTTTAGCTCGCTGTTTATCAAAAACCACAGAAAAAAAAAAAGAACACCTTAAGGGGAAAATGGTAAAAATCCACGGGAAAAACAGGGAAACAACAGCCGCCCAGTGCTGAGGGCAACAACAATGACAGTCAAACAATGCAAAATCAATTTAAATTTTCATCTCGCACACACAGCACGGCCTGGAAAAAAGGAAAGGGGAGTGGCGATGGCACAGTAAAAAGCGCACACAAAATGGGTGAGAAAATCAGGAAAGCAACCGCAATCTCTTACCAAATTGTTTCGAGGGTTGCCATTGCCGTGTGCGCTGCCTTTTTTCTCCACTTTTTTCTCCGCCACGCAACTCAATCATAAGTAAATATCTGCCTGGCACACACGCACGTGAAAATAAAAAAAAAAAAAGAAAGAAATATATGTAGGAGAGGAAAAGCGAGGCTTATTATGCCCCCGGGTGAAATATAAACGGAAGATGGTGCTGGGGGGGCCTTGGGGTTGGGGTTGAAAAATAGGGGGTGCGGTGTCCGCAAAGGGTGCAGGGGGAGGGAGACCGGGAGAGACAAGCAGCGGGTTGGCAGGCGAGACACGTTCTAATAGATTTTTCCAGCCTCTCGCCTTTTGACGCTTGGCAGGCCGTACAAGTTACACATGTTGCTTTTGTTTGGCTTCCTGTCACACATACACACACGAGTCCTTCGAAGGACCCATGCTTAGACATATGTGCACTACGAAAAAAAATATATATTCTACAAGTAGCAAAGAGAAGGAGTTTAAAATTCAGTGTGTGTCTAAAAGAGATTATGAATTAATTTCCATGATTTTTTGAAGGAAAAACAAGCTGAAATAATGTCATTTATAAACCTATATTTAAGTTTGAAATTGCTGTAAAGCTCTACTTGATTTTCTTACTTCTTGGTAAGAGTTTTGAGGCTCGGTTTCTTGTTTTTTTGCAAGTGCACTCACCTTAGAGGCACCCACAAGACGTACATTTGCCATGAAACACTGGCATTTGACATGGCTCAAGTTGTGCCTCAATTTAGGACCGTAAATCCTTTATTCAATTCTTTTGCCGCGATAAGCGCGTCACCGCTTCAAAAATGCGTGAAAAAAAAGGATTACTGGGGTGCAAATCGGCATTGATTAGGCCAACCGGATAAGCCGGGGATAAGGCCGAGGCACGGGACCGTAAGTCCCATAAATCCGGCATATGTATGTGCGATGCGATGCATTGCGTTGCTTTCCACTTTCGGGGCTCATCAATCTATGCAAATTGCTGGCAATTGACTGGCAAGCAAATCCGAAAATTATGCCATCGGCGTTCTACCAAAAACACAATGAAGGATGAACCGGGGCCCAAAGCGCCACCAAACGAATCTGGGAGCTGCAATTGACAGGCGGGCGGACCAAGAATAGCCAGCGGGTGGCAGGAGCTGGAGCAGCAGAAGGTTCATCTCCGCAGGAAGAGAGAGAGCCAGAACCAGAGCCAGAGCCGGAAGCTGGCACACAACTAATTGGACATCCGTTTGCCCCGGCGATTATCGACTTTGAGAACGAGGACAAGGGCAAGGTAAAGGTAACTCAAGTATTCTTTCCTGCTGCTACTTTTCTACCAGTCCTCATCCTGCTCCTCCTCCTCCTCCTACAGTTCGTGAATTTTCCGCCACGTTATTAACACCAGATTGAGTGAAAGGACAAGGCATCCTCCTGGCCTCCCGGTGTCGCCATGGCTGCGATGCCGCTCTATTTAGCTGCCAGCTCCGTGTCCGCTGGGACACAAAAGAACGAGCCTGAAACGCTCCAATTGCCGGTGTCGTTTGGCTTGATTTAATTGAAGCCGATTACCCAGCTGGAGATGGCACACCGGGCCGCCAGCTGGGCAGCCTCATTAGATCGATCCACGTCCCACATCCCCATATCAACGTCTATGGCCGCCTGCACACTGTGCAATAATGGCGAAAGAAAATCAGCAACAATTTGAGATTTAAACGATTGTAAAATTCTTTTTTAAATCATAAGAAAAAATCGTACTTTAAAAGTATACTTTATTGTTAATTTTAAATATAATTTCATTACTGTTCAGTGCATTTTGCTGTGATGTTTTGCGCTTAAATCGCTTGTACTAAACTCTTAAGTGCCTTAAGGAGCCATCGCCTAAGCCGCTTAGTCCCCGGATTTATTAGAGTCCACAACAAAGCCGGTGCAAGATCAATGGGCTTGCCTGCGCACAGGTCGCCTCTTTCAAGTCAAAAGTTTCTGCGACAACAAAACCACTTCAAAAGCCGCCTTTCAAGTGGTGCTGCAGCGCTCCAGTTGTTTGTCACCTGGCCCGTGAGTCACTGCCCCCCCACCCACTGTTTGGTGATTCATTAGCCACCCGCATCCGACCGCTTGCCCCCCTTTTATGCTGAGCACTCTTAAGCTAAATTAAGTTTTGATAATTCCTAATAATCTATTCAGGCAAGTTTTCAAAAATGTTTGTTCACTTGCCTGTCGCTCTAAGAGGTTGGATTGCTCGTTGTTCGTGGGGCTTCCGAGCCAAGGGACTTCCCGAAATGAAGATGAGGTGAGTGCCTGCTACTGCTTTTGTTGTGATCCATTCCCCGCAAACAACCCGTGCGCCCCTGGTGTGCAAATTGAATTTTGAAATTTTCTTAGATTTGAATTGTTAGATAGCTGGCGACTTATTAGAACGGAATACACAAAAACCGCATACAAAAGTTTTGCGGTGCCTTTGCTAGATTGCACTGGAGAAAATTTGGGGTGAATTTATATGGAATTTATATTTTTAAATAATTTAAAGAGAATTTGTAATAGTAAAATAGTACTTTACAGTTTTAAATTCCATCTTTTAATATTCTTTTATTATATTCGATTTAGTAAATGTTGCACAGGTTTAGTTTTCAAAGAGACTTTCTATTTTTTCAAACTAATTACTCAAAAAAATAAAATAAATCTATAAACAATAAACAATAAATATACTAAAATCTATACCAATTAAAACCCAAATTGTTTCTCCCTGTGTAATGGCTTTGAAAAACTTTTGTGCGAACAACTATTGTTGAAAAGTTTTCAATTGAGAATATTAATTTAGCCAATACATGTGGGCCAGGGAGCACAGCAAGCGGACGGCTGAAAACCAAAACAAACGGTAAAAGTTTTGTGGTTTGCCAAAGCATCAAAACCACGCCCCCATCCTGCTGTCGTGGAATGGGATGTCATGGGATCAGCAGTAGCCCAGCTCAGGTGCCTTATAGACGCTGTTCATCCTTCTCCCGACTCGACTCGAGGGCGACAAGACGCCGGCATAATGTGGTTTTTGCGGCGCACTTTCTATTAGGCGAGCGGAAGTATAATCAAGAACACCCATCCAACTCCACCTTTGGTACGAACCACCCCGGGACAACCAACCAGTCCACAGAGCACACTCCACGCACTCTGGGCCAATTAGCCGTGTGTCCAACCAAATTGGCTGTGGGCCCTGCTTTGTTGTGGCCCAAAATGAAGTGGAGGAGTCCCATAATCAGAGCAGGGCCAGGCGCATATTCTGCATATACAGTAAGTAATGCGGTCAGTTGTCACTTTGATCTGTCCAGAACAGGAAAAGATTATGGGCTAAGATGACGGGGGGTAGATGCACTCGAAAAAATATATAAATTTAAATAGATTTAACACTGAATTTTGATTTTAATCATTTTAAAATTAACTCTTAAATCACTTTAAGGAAAGTAAAACTTAAACAGAGGCTTTTCCTTGTGTGCCAGGGACTTTTATTTTGTTTTAAAGCTCTGTAAATGAGTTACAACTTTATAGGTCTGAGGTATTTCTATAATATCTATATTTATTTATCTTTAAAATATTACAAAAACCAAAAAGCACCAGAAAAT